TTGGATGTAGGGCTTTTTTATAGCTACACTTACTGAGAATTTTATCATGATGGTGCTGAATTATATCAAATGCTTTTTCAACATTTATCAATAATCGCATGATTTTTTGCCCTTATCTTGTTAATATGATGAATTATCCTGATTGGTTTTCAAACATTAAGTGAATAAACCCCATTTGAACATGATGCATAGCACTTTTCACTTTGCATGGTACTGCAGGACTGTAAAAATAACCATGCAAACTGAAACTGTGCAACAATCTTAAAAATCAATGAGAAAACTACAATTGTTCTGTAACCTTCACAAATTTTTATTAAAACAATAAAAACTCTCATGGCCAACTATAAATAGTAACAAAAGTAGTATACAGTAATAAAAGATCTCTTCTATTCCTAGTCTGTTAACAGTTTTTATCCTAAGTGGGTGTTGAATTTTGTCATATGATTTTTCTTAATCTATTGAGATAATCATGTCCTTAACTCTCTTAACCTGGTGCATTCCATTAATTAATTTTCAGATATTAAAACTAAACTTGCATTCCTGGGATAAATCTCTTGGTGATAGTGTTTAATCATTTTTATATGTTGCTAGATTCAATTTGTTAATATTTAGCTGAGAATTCTTGCATGCATACTCATGAGGGATACTGGTAGGTAGTTTTCTTTTGTTGTGAAAACTTCATCTAGCTTTGGTATCCAGGTAATACTGGCTTTACAAAATGTTTTGAGTGGCATGACTTCCCCTTTCTTTTTTTTAAGTTTGTAAAGTAAATGGAATTATTTATTCTTTAAATGTTTTGTAGAATTCATCAATGAAGGTATCCAAACATGGGTTCTTCTTTGTGAAAGGTTTTTAATGACTAATTTCTTTACATGCTATAGATGTATTCAGATTTTCTATTTCTTTTTGAATCAGTGCCAGTAATTTGTGTCTTTCTAGGAATTTATCTATTTTAAGTTGTCTAACTTGTTGACATAACAACACACTCACTATTAAATAGACAATTCAGCAAACACTAAAGATTTAATAGTGTGAATCAGCCATGTGAAACTCTACTTGCATTTACTTTTTAACATTATTTCTGTCCCACTTGCAAAGAAATTCAATAAAAGAAAACATTTCAACAGTGACTACAATGGTTAATTTTATGTGTCAACATGGCTGGGCCATGGTACCCAGGTATTTGGTCAACATTATTCCAGATGTTTCTTTGAAGGTGCTTTCTGGATGACATTAACATTTAAATCAGTGGCCTCTGAGTACAGCAGATTGCCCTCCATAACATGTGTAGGCCTCATCTAATCAGTTGAAAATCTTAACAAAGACTGACCTTCCCAAAGCAAGAAGGAACTCTGCCAGCAGACAACCTTCGGACTTGATCTGTGACACTTGTTCTTCCCTAGGTTGCCAGCTTGCTCACCTACCATGCAAATTTTGGATTTGCCAGCCTCCGTAATCCCATGAGCCAATTCCTTAAAATAAATTTCTCTCTACACACACACACACACACACACACACACACACACACACACACACACACGCACACACACACGCACGCACACATCTTATTGGTTCTGTTTCTCTAAACTTAAACTATCCTTCTCATTAAGTTAAAAATATATTGTGCTTAATTTTTTTAAATTTTCTAATTCATAAAATTTTATTAAATAACTTATTTTAAAAATGAAATTGATTAGTTTCTTCTTAATATGAATTTAGTTACTTAAAATATATTTTAACATTGCCACAGTAAAAGCCAACCTCTCGTCCAAAAGGCATAATATTGAACTGACTTGCTGAATCTTCATTTAACATTTACTGAGCACCACCCCTGTGCCAAGTACTTTGCTAGGCTTTGAGAAATAAAGGTGTATAAGTCCTTGCCCAAAGAAACAGCATCTAGACAGCAGTTACCAAATAATTTCAATATAACATAGTTAAGTGCTTTCTGACACCTTCTCTAACCTACTGCAAATACCAATCAGTTTGGTATACTATGAACTTTCTTTTCACTCAAGGATACAGGCTAGTTATTAACAGTTTTGGCAGGTGGCGGGGTGGCAGGCGGGGGGGTGTTGTTTTTTTTTTTGGCAACTGGCCAGTACAAGGATGCAAACCCTTGACCTTGTTGTCACCAGCACCATGCTCTCCCAAGCAAGTTAACTGGCCAGCCAACTATTAACAGTTTTATGCCAGGTCTAGGTTGCTTTCTAATGTCAAGAGATCATTATCTTGTCCCTATACTATAAAGCACAAAAGCAATATCTTCAAATGCAGAACAAGATCTATGCTATCATATATAGAAAAATAGAGGGCCATATACATGTGCACACAGTCTAATTATGAAATTATAGATTCATAGCAGATTCAAGAATTATAGCAGATTCAAGAATCTGCTAGCAAGGGAGACTAGGGGACAGGGTTATGAGGGCGGCAAATTTTCCTGCCATATCATTCTGTACTCTTAGTACTGGCTGCATATTTCATCTTTTAAAAACATCTTCCAGGATATAAAACAGCAAAATCAAAGGAATAATGCTCAACTTCTCCAAGGAAGAGAAAGGATTAGGAAACAATCTTTAACTGAGGTATAAATTTAAAAGATTAATGGAATCATTTCTCAACAGTAATGGTTATCAAACATGATAATGAGTTAGCAAGAGAAGTCAAAGAATTCCTTCTATTAAAATATTCACAAATATGATATCTAAAAACACTTTAGGGAGATAGAAGACATTATTGGCTTTTACAGATTATTCTTAGCTGACCTGTAATTTAATTACATCTGAGTTATTCTAACAAATGCCTTACCAACAACATTGTTTCATCAGCTTATATGTACTATATACCATGTACACATGCAATAAAAAATGTGGTTAGTCTTTCTCTCTGGTTCCCAGGAAGTAACCTCTAAGTCCTTGGAATTTGCCAGATGATGGAAGTGTCTTTGTTATTCATGGTGGGTCCCTCAGGCAACATCTAACAGTTCATACTAAAGAAGTGAGTCATAGTGAGCCCTAGAGAGTTTACACTAAAAAGATGACACAGATGGGGGCTGATCATGCCAGGAAGACCAACCATTTGATTAGAGGGTTTGGGCCTTTGAGCCATGTGACCTAGAAAGGACAGGAAGCCCCCTGGGCTCCCAAGCCAGGGAGGGGGGAAGGCCATGGGCCTTAGCCAAACACCCCAACATCCGCAACCAGCCCAGGGACAACCACTGAGCCTCCACTGCAAACACCCTGGGCTCCCAAGCTGAAACAGTCGGGGGCCGAGGGCTTCAGCCACACACCCCTGACATCTGCATCCAGCCTGGCAACAACCAAGCCCCCACTGGAAGCCTCCTGGTCTCCCCTGCAGGAATGAGGGGGTGACACAGGCCTCAACCACACCACCTCTCCTTCCTCCTTCTCACACCCTATTTCCCTCTCCCTTCCCCTCTCCCTCTCCCCCCAACTGTTTTGCAACATCTTAGAATGTAAAAAAATAATATTAATAAACATTTTTTTTTTCCTTTTTGTCTTTTTTTCGTGTCCGGCAATGGATCGCAACCCTCAGTGTCGCGCCCGTACCGGACCAGGACCAGCAACGGGATCGCAACCCTCGGTGCTGCACCTGCACCTCGCTCAGCCAGTGAGCGGGAACCAGTCTGTATGTGGGATCCGAACCCTCGGCGGGAGCGCCGCCACGCTCCCAAGCGGCGCACTGTAGCAGTGCGCCACCGGGCCAGCCCAATATTAATAAACTTTAAGTAAATAAATAAATAAAGTGAATATGGCAAATATTTAAAAAAAAAATTCAGTGTGCACTAAAAACAATTGACTACTGTTTTAGTTGGCAATAAAAGCAGTATTCCATGAAAATTAAATTTACACACCCAAGAGAATTAATTTTATTTTTGCAATGGGGACATTAATTCATTCATTCAAAACATCTTTTCCAAGCACTTGAGTGCCAGGCACTGTGCTAGGCAGTGGAAATAAAATGGCAGGCAAGCTGGCATGCCACTGTAGTACAATAGAGAGCTGAACAAGTTCAAAACTACCATTCAAGGGGAGAACCAATGCCATAGCAGCACACGGCAGGAATGGCCAACCCAATCTAGAAAAAGATAAAATTATCATACAGAAAACAAGAAGCCACAGAAGGATTTGAAGCAGAGACTAACATAATCACATTTGTTTTTTGGAAAGAAATCGAAAACAGTGCAGAGACATAGTAGAGGGAGCTAGACTATAAAGCAAAAAGAATACTAGAAGACTATTGCAAAAACCTAAGTGAGAAACAATGGAGGCCTGCATAGAAGAATAGCGGTGGGATTTGTGAAAAATAAATTTGAGATTTAGGGGTTGGAATCAACTGGACTTGTATAATTGCTTGATGTAGGAGGCAGGGGAAGGGAGGAATCAAAGATGACTAGGCAGCCAGCTCACTGAGATGGGGAGCCCAGAAAAGTTTAAGAGTAATGTAATTTAATTTTACACAGGTTGATTTTGAGCCCATGATGTACAGTAGGAAACTGGATATATGGGTCTAGAGTTTATAAAAGGAATTGAGATTGGAATACGGATTTAGAAGTCATGAACATGCTGATGGTAAATAAAACCGTGCGAGTGGATATGGTCACTTGGAGTATATGAAATGAGAAGAGAGCCTAGATCAGAGCCCTAAGTAACACCAATTGAGGAACAGGCAAGGTCATTGTCATTAAGTTACACTTTAAACTCTGCATCACTGAAATTTTTCAATTAATTTTTAGTTATGTTATACATACTTACCGCTATGATTCCATAAAACATAACCAAGGCAATATCATATAAAAACAGGTACAAGTTTCTCAGTATTAGTTATATTTCATATGTAGACCATGTTGTCATATGTAAGATTTCAGAAAGGAAAGTTACTAGGATCCCAAAGAGATCTTTTTTTCCCTGACAAGACAAACCGTTTTCACAACAGCCTGCTAAGGATATCTGAGTTTAGCACATCTAATGACATACCTAACGAACCCCTGGTCTGTTGACTGTTTGGTGGTATGTTTTCCTTAGCCATGGAGATTAATATTTTACTGTTTTCAGAAAGCTTCTCTGATGCCTTTCCCTGAAAGAGACATACTGTTTACAAAAGCAAAGGGGAAAGAACCCACAAAATATACAATTCAACTCAAAATTTTTATTAAACAGCTTGATTAGATTACACAGTACACCACAAAAGAAATTTAAGTGTTAGGTTTGAGGAATCAACCAAATGTATTGAAATATTATAATAAATAGTCTAATATTTAATTCATTCACTTATCAACAAATATTCACTGAGTTCCTATTAAGTGCCAGACATTGGAAATACATGAGTAAAAATCATTACAAGAATTCCTGCTGTCATGAAGCTTATAAACTACTAGGGAGACACATTGTAAACATAACATATAATCAGATTATGCAATATGTAGAGAGCAACAGGGATGGGGTATGGGGGAAAAAACAGGAAGGTAAGGAGGCCCAGAAATGCTGGGGAAGGGACTGCAAGGCCTTGCTGAGCAGGTGATACTTGAACTAAGACTTAAATATTAATATTTATGTACTATTTAATACTAGATATAATAATAAAGCTGTACTTAAAGCTATGTACTCTAAACTATGTAACTCCAAACACTGTAACCTGGTCCTAACTACAGAAGAGTGGTTAAGAGCATTGACTTTGGAGCTGGATGAAGGTTCCAATCTTGAATTCACCACTATGTATACCTGGACAAATTACTTAACTCCTTTGAGCCTCACTTTCTTGTCCTGTAAAACAAAAAAATTCTGCCTACTTCACACGGATATTACAATTAAATAAAATGATACATGTGAAGTCCTTGGTACAACTCCTTGTACATGGCAGATCGTTATGGAAGGAAGGCAAACTAGCTAGCACGGTGGTTCAGAGAACAAGCACTGGAGTCAGGCTGCCAGGGATCAAAGCCTATTTCCACCAACTCTATCACCTTAATCTCATTACTTAACATGTTTACTCACATTATGATGAACTGTATGGCACAGATTAATCTACATGTTATATCTTGTTACAAACACTGAGCCCATGACAGGTGTCACATCTGTCTAGATTAGTGCTGATATTCCCAGAGCTTAGCACAGTACATCGCACAATCTTAATAAATATTTATTAAATCAATCAGTCTTTCACCAAAATGAAGAAAGCTTTAATAAAGCTTTCCAGACAATGCTTTCAGAAAAAATCATTTTTAACAAATTCATATTCTGAAAAACAAATACTACAAAATAAACTACCCTAACAAGTTCACTTTTGTAGATATCAAAATGTTTTTAATTGATTCATTAAATAATTGAATTTATTCATATAGAATATAAGAACTTGCTTTTATAACTGTTCTGTTTATATTCTGGAAGTTCTTTGTACTAGAACTGGTCTCCTAATTATTTTGTGACGCACATAATTATTAATTACATAGGAGTAATCATCAGAGACAATTTTAATGAAACATGTTGAAAGAAAATTATTAACTTTACCTTTATTTCCATGTAAGGTGGATCATTTTCCAATTCTGCTTTATCTTTCGCCAATTTGGCTTTTTGTTCTTCAATAAACTCATCCAAATTATCAGCCATTTCGCAGATTCTAAAAAGGAAAAAGAAAAAAAATTCTTCAATGGGCACAACTATACTGCAGTATTTTTAGCCTAATTATTAACATTCAGGCTTAGCCCACCATTTAATATTCAATCCCACTGATCAAATTGAGCACTTCAAACTTAAGCTTGATCGTAAATATGCCTGCCTGCTTCCTCTCCTAACTCCCTGAAAAGCATAACATACTTTAAAATATCTGAAAATTAAAAAAAAAAAAAACCACCACCACCACATACACACACACACACGCATGCATGCACACACACCAAAAAACAAAAGCAGACTAAAAAAACCCTTTAATCCTTAAGTCAAAGCACTTTTTCCAAAAAATGTTTTTTATCTATTTGGAGATAATTTCTAACTTACACAAAAGTTACAAAAATAATACCCAGAATACCCATATAACACCCATTTGTTCTTTATCAATTTTAACCTTTATTTGTGCACACAGGTCAATCTCTCTATACACAGCATATAAGTTTTTCTAATATTATTCAGAGTTTGAATTACATACATCACAGTCCTTTATTTTCTTATATAACCTCAATACAATTATCGACTTCAGTAACACTGATTTTTTAAATCTAATCTATTGTCCATTTTCCACTTTTGTCAACTGACCCGAAAGTGGCCCTTACAGCATATGTTCTTCTCTGCAGTTCAGGATCCACTCTAGGTTAGGTATTGCATTTACTGTTATGTCTCTCTAGCCTTCTTTAATTTGAAACATTTTCACAACCTTCCTTTGTCTTTTATGACATCAATATTATTTTTAATACAACTTATTCATTACCCACCCTTTTTAACAGAACATTCTTCATCTGGGGTCTGCCTGATATTTCTTCATTACTATATTCAGGTTATACATTCTCAGCAAGAATACTATAGTACTTAGGTGATGTTGGACCTACCCCCATTAGTGATGTTATTTCTGATCACCTGGTCAAGACGTCTGATTTCTGGATTACTGTTCCCCTCTAACAATAAGCAGTCCATGAGGAGATAATTCTAGACAATGCAAATATCCTACTCCTGATCAAAATTCCCCCCTAAATTTAGCATCGATTGGTTATTCTTGATTAATCCAATCTTTGAATCTAGATGGCTGCAAAATGCTAATTTTCCAATTCCACCACTCCCTACACATTTATTTACCAGGCAGCACTTACTTATCATTCTTTTGTGATAGACCCCTTCTTTGGTCCGCATTTATTCATTGGCTTATTATCAGTGTGACATTATGAATTCCTTTTTTCCTCAACAAGCCCCAGAATTTTTTTAAATTCATAAGCTGTTGTTTTTTTTTTTGTCTTTTTTCCGTGTCCGGCAACGGATTGCAACCCTCAGTGTTGCCCCCGTACCGGACCGGGGACCGGCGACGGGATTGCAAGCCTCGGCGTTGCTCCCGCGCCTCGCTCAGCCAGTGAGCGGGAGCCGGTCTGTACGTGGGATCCGAACCCTCGGACGGGAGCGCTGCCGCGCTTCCCAAGCGGCGCACTATCCAGTGCGCCACCGGGCGGCCCCCATAAGCTGTTGTTTTAATTGAGGAATTATTTATATACCACAAAATTTACCCATCTTAGTTCCATAATTTTTAGTAAACTCATAGTTATTCAAGTATCACTACAATCACGTTTTATCATGCTTTCATTACTCCAAGAAGTTCCCTCATACCCCTTTGCAGTCACTCCCCACTTCCAGCTCAGGCAACCCACTGATCTGTTTCCTTTCTTTATAGTTTTGGCTAATCTGAAAATTTCATATAAATGGATCATACAATATGCATTTGGCTTCTTCCACTTAACATAATGGTTCTGAGATTCATCTTTATAGTTGCATCTATCAGTATGTAGTTTGTTGGGTATTTTTAGGCTAAACAGTAGTCCATTGCATAGAAATACCCACATTTTGTTTATATATTTTTTTATTCATTATTGGATATTTCCAATTTTTGACTATTTGTGAATATTTCTGCTATGAGTATTTGTGTACAGGTTTTTGTGTAAACATAGTTTTCAATTCTCTTTGATATATACCTAGGAGTAGTAGAATTTCTGGGTCCTATGACCTCTAGGCATAACATTTGGAGGAAATGCTAAATTATTCCTCAAAGTATAGAGTGGCTGTACCATTTTATATTCCAATCAGCAGCATATGAGGGTTACAATTTCTACACATCTTTGGTATTTTCAGTCTTTTTGATCTTAGTCACTCTATTTGGTGTGTGGTAGTATCTCCTTGTGGTTTTACTTTGCATTTCTATAATGACTATGATGTTAAGCATCTTTTTGTGTGCTTATTTGCCATTCATATATCCATACATATAATAATTGGCAAAGTGTCTACCCAAATTTTCTGCCCATTTTTACAATCAGGTTGCTTTCTTATTAATGAGTGGTAAGGTTTCTTTATATATACTGAAAACAAGTCCTTTATCAAACATGTTTTGTTAATATTTTCTCCCAGTCTTGTGGTTGGTTTGTAAGTTTTCTTAATGATATCTTTTTAATAGCAAAAGTTTTTAATTTTTATCTAGTCCAATTTATTAATTTTTCAGTTTTTAATCAATTTATTTTTTGCACTTTTTGTGTCATATCTAAGAAATCTTTGCCTAATCCAAGATCACAGATATGGTCTTCTGTTTTCTTTTAGAAGTTTTTTTTTTTTTTTTTAATGGTTTTTCTGTCTTACATTTAAGTCTATGATCCATTTAAAGTTAATTTTTGCAAATGGTATGAGGGTCAAAAGGTTCAATCTTTTTGCATATTAATATAAATTATTCCAGCACCATTTTTAAAAAAGACTGTCCTTTCCTCATTGAATCCGGAATTTTTAAAAAAATACACTTACAAAAAACCCATGAAGCTTAGTGACTAACTGTATATGTGGCAAGAATAGTTAAAACGCAAGAAAGAAGGCGTCAAAGTTTTAAGTCCTGGAAACTAAGTGTGCATCCTCGTCAGAAATAAGTCAGAGCAAGTTGGCTGGTTTGGAAAGGTTTGGTTTACAATATGTTAAGTTGGAACTAGTAAAATGTGCTAATGAAAATTTCCAGCAGATGGTTAGAAAGTCAAGACTCAAATTCAAAAATATGAACCACATTAGAGATATTTATTTAAGAATAAAACTATTTTAAAGATAATAGTAGAAGCCACAGTAAATGAGCACAGGCAAGGAAAAAGAGAGATGATACCCAACTAAATGCTGGGTAATGTTCACTTGAGAGGGTGACAGAAAAATCAAAGCTGGGGGGAAAAAAAAACTACTGAAAGCATCCTGTTTCAACTTATTCTGTCTAAACCCACCCGCTCCCTCCCAGAAGGTCATGGGTGCTGCAGGAGACACAAAACTTCATCCCTGTGGAGCATTTCTCAAGATATTAAACCACCACAACGTCAGTGTCCTCCTAGCGAGAAGTATGATATGGAAAAGAAAAGAAAGCATCTTACTGGTTTCCACGGGGTTCATTTTCGTTTGTCAATATGACAAGTCGTTCTTTCGTATAAAATAGAACCACTTTGGGGATTAACTGCTTTATACAAACTTACTGGTTGCTTTTCGGCCCTTCCATTTTCCAACATGTTCGGAAACTAGGTGGTGGTTTACTTCAAAATTTAGTCTTCCCCGAAATCCTAGTTAAGCTTCTTAATCCTATAATCATGAGACAGTCTCTCTGAAACGATGACTCCCATTGCTAGCATTTAGTGAAAACTGGACTCAAGTCCTAGGTAATACTAAAATCAAGGCAATCAGAAAGATGAGTTGGTTCAACTTCAAGGAGCCCAGCAACCACAGGGGGCAAACTGAATAATAATAGTCCCAGGCTACGGTGAAGATTAAACCAACTTTATTTGTAAAGCAAAGTGCCGGGAACGGCGCCCTGGCGCACCAGCACTCAGATGTTAAACAATAAGCAGCACCGAGGGGGGGAGGAAAGCCGCTCGGGGAGGCTTAGCGGAGCCAAGGAGGCCGGCCCTCGGGGAGGAAAGAGGCGCACGGGAGCGAAGGCACTGCCGGTCTCCGGGAGATGGGGGTGCTGACTCTTCAGAAAGCGTCAATGCGTTGTCAGGCAACCGGCTCTCACCACCACCCAAGGCGGCGGCGACGCTGGTGGCCGGGGAGTCGGGACCGCGTATCCATGGCACCGCCC